GGATTCTAAGAGCATCAGGGTGGCAGCTGCTGCTGCACATAGGAATGAGGGCCAGCCCAGGACTGTGAGGTTAAGTTGTTCGGATAAAAAGGCTGCGGGCCGTGAGCCTGGCTCCTGGGTAAGAATCCTGATGGCGCAGCCTTTTATTTCTGCTGCATAGAGAGAATAGTTGAGAGGAGTTGGGGAGTGCTCAAGTAGGAGCAGTCTCTTAGGCCTTTTTTAAAGAATGGAAGGAAGAATGGGGGAAGGATTTTTGGTCTATGGGGTCGGATAGGTTTCCTTTTGTAAGTTTATAAAGTGCTTTGGTTAGAGGGGCAAAACTTGGTATCCATAGACAAAAGTATCCTCCAACACCTAGGAAGGAGAGAAGCTGTTGTTTAGTGGATAGGGTTGGGGTTTAGGAAATTAACTGGATATGGTTGGCAGGGAGAGCGCATGTATACTGGTGAAGGATTATAAGAGATGGGGAAGAAATTTGGGTTTTAGAAAAAAAGCGTTTTTGAGGTCAAGAACAGAACAGTGAATTGTGGAAGGGGGTATGGAAAATAGGGGGGTACAGGGGTTGGTACAACCAGGTGGATGGGAAGTACAGTCTGATTAATGAGGTGGAGGTCTTGAACTAGTCTGTAGAATTTGTCTGGTTTTTGGACAGCTAGGACAGGGGACTTGTAAGGAGAATTTGTAGGAATTAAAGGCCATGTTGCAATAGACAGGTGATAACAGGCTTTAGGCCTTTTAAAGCCTGTTGTTGTGGGATGGGGTGCTGGTGCTGAGCGGGGTAAGAGTGGTTAGGTTTTTTTTTTTTTTTTTTGAGACGGAGTTTCACTCTTGTTACCCAGGCTGGAGTGCAATGGCGCGATCTCGGCTCACCGCAACCTCCGCCTCCTGGGTTCAGGCAATTCTCCTGCCTCAGCCTCCTGAGTAGCTGGGATTACAGGCACGTGCCACCATGCCCAGCTAATTTTTTGTATTTTTAGTAGAGACGGGGTTTCACCATGTTGACCAGGATGGTCTCGATCTCTCGACCTTGTGATCCACCCGCCTCGGCCTCCCAAAGTGCCAGGATTACAGGCTTGAGCCACCGCGCCCGGCCTAAGAGTGGTTAGGTTTTAAGGGGATGATGGGGGTGAGTGACTTGTAGCAAGGGATGGGGAGGTGGTGTCCCGTACCCTAAGGTTAAGGTAGTGGGACACAAGGGGAGCTATTGAGGGAGGTATGGGTTCAGGGAGGAGGGTGGCTATGAGGTGTGGCTGTAGCCCAGGAATAGTTAAGGAGGCAGACAATTTTGCTGGGATGTCTCAGTCTAACGAGGGAACTGGACAAGTGGGGATGATTAGGAAAGAATGTGGAAAGGGGTGCTGGCCTAACTGACACCAGACTCTGGGAGTTGTGAGAGGCCTGGAGGCCTTGCCATCAATTCACACAACAGTTACGGAGGCCAAGGAGACAGCTCCTTGCAAGGAAGGCAGGGTGGGGCGGGTGGCCCCAATGTGATTAAGTTCTGAGATGTGCTGCCTCTGGGCAGCCCCTTCCCTGTTACTGAACACCTTGAAGGTAAGGTTGATTAATTCCTGTTGTGGGGTTTGAGGGCCAGATTTTAATTTCTGTAGCTTTTTTTAATGTCAGGGGTTTATTGGGTGATAAAATGTATATTAAGCGTTCTTCAGGGGTGAGAGTGGAAGTAGGGATGACATTTCAAGTCACTCCAGGTGAGATTACAGGACTGGGTTAAGTATCGGAGGATCTGATGTTGGCTGATTTGGGAAAGGTTGGAGAAAGAGAAAGGAAAGTACATCCTAAATGTGCCTTTGGCTCCGGCCACCTCTCGAAGGGGTAATTGTTAGGGGGGGTGGTGGCGGAGGAGGTAGCCACAGGACTAAACTGTAAGCTGGGCCCTGGATGAGGTAGGGAGGTGACCGGAGGGGGATAAGGCTGTGGGTTGTGGGCAGAGGAAGAGGAGGAAGGCTGGGGGTAGGGTTGGGCCTGGATTGGGGTTTGGTTCAGACAGGCAGGGAGAAGAAAGTTAGGAAGGGTTGATGGACCAGGAGGATTCTGGGTCATTGGCAGAGGCAGGCGGGGCGGATGGGAGGGAGAGAAGGAACAGAGATTTGGGAGGAATTCAAGTGTAAAAAAAATGCCTGGATGTCTGACACCTTAGAGCATTTGCCCATTTGTTGACAAAAATTGTTCAGTTTCTAATAATGGATTACAACCAGTTCCAAATTACTGCGTTCCTTCTCCACTCCCACTGCTTCACTTGACTAGCCTTAAAAACAAAACAAAACAAAACAAAACAAAACAAAACAAAACAAAACAAAAAACGGTCCAGGTCTCACAAAATAGAAAAATCGAAAGTGCCTTTTTCTGGTCATTTGGATTGAGGCCAGGCTGTGCTATAGAGACGTTTAGGTCTCAGATTGGGTGGCAGTTGAAGAAGTTTTAGGTGTTTTAGGTTGCAGGCTAGAGGTGAGGACTGAGGAATAGAACACTGAGAGTTGTTCATAGCGAAGGAGGTAAGTTTTAATGAAAGAAGTAGAGATTAGAAGGAGCGAGCAGCTACTAGCGTTTTCAGTAGGCATCCCTGACTGATTCCTGGGCTGTAACGTGGGTGAGTGATCAAGAAAGACATCCCCACAACTGACCAGACACCGAGGGAAGAGTCTTCTCTTCTCAAGTCCGTGATCAACATCGGAGTTTTGGAGCAAGAAGCAGAGACTTGTCTCCTCCGGCTTACACGGATAAAGAGTGTCTCTTTGTCTCTACTAGAAGGAGAAAGATGTAAAGGAAAAGAGAAAGAGGGAGAGACTTGTCTCCTTCTCTCTAAAGGAAAAGAGAGAGAAAGAGGGGGAGAGAGAGACTGCTTACCTGATCTGAAGCTGGCGAAAAAACTGTTCTGCACGCAAGGTGTGAGCTGCTGGGCTGGGCTGGGCGGGGCTGGGCTTATGTGTTGAGGTCTCAGGTAGGTCTCTTTACAGAGGGAGAGTGGGGACAGGGGGCTGGTCTCTCCATAGGAGTACCCCCATCCTGGGTTTTCAGTACCAAATGTTAAAACGTGAGCTCTAAATGAAGAAACCACCAAACAGGCTTTGTGTGAGCAACATGGCTGTTTATTCACCTGGGTGAGGGTGGGCTGAGGCAGATAAGCGCGTCAGCAAAGGGCAGAGGGATAGAAGTTGGTTTTATAGGTTTGGGGTAAACAGTGGAAAGTTGCAGAAATAAGTTTAGGGCATTTTTCTGCAAGCTGGGAGTGGGTCGTAGGTTTGCAAGCTGGGAGAGGGTCGCAGGGTGTGGAGTCACCAGGTTGGCCGAGGTCAGTTACAAAATCCAAGGCCTTGTCAACTGAGGCTGGAATAAGAAATAATAGAAGGTCGCAGGTAGGTTAGGCGCCGCAGGGGTTGATCGTTTCTTCTGGGAACTCATCTGGGTGTACGTGCAGCCACAGAGATGACCCTGCCATTCATGGTGGTGAGGCCTTACCACCCACCCCTTCACCCCACCTCCTACAGCCCACCCCCTCCCACCCTCCCAGCCTCACTGACCTTACAGGTCCTCAAACACAACAGGCCTCAGGGCTACCATGCCGACTGTTTCCTTTGCCTGGAATGATCCTCCCATATTGGCATGGCTGGCTCCCTCAATTCCTTCAAGCACGTGTCCAGTGTTGCTCTCTCAGTGAGGCCTACCACCCTGACCAGTGGTCTATCTATATTACAGATAGAGTCTATCTGTAATCGCAACCTCCCAATTCCCACAATTTCCCATCTCCCTTACCCTGCTCTGTTTCCATGCCACTTTATTACCTTCTAATACGTTTATTATGATTTATAGTATTAATTAAATAAAATTTAGTGGGGGAGACAGACAATAAACAGGAAAATAAAAGCATGAGCCTAGGAACATTTAGTCCAGCGGTGAGTGCTCTGATAAAAACAATATCCAGCTGGCGGTGGCTCAAGCCTGTAATCCCAGCACTTTGGGAGGCCGAGGTGGGTGGATCACGAGGTCAAGAGAGCAAGGCCATCCTGGTCAACATGGTGAAACCCCGTCTCTACTAAAAATACAAAAAATTAGCTGGGCATGGTGGCACATGCCTGTAATCCCAGCTACTCAGGAGGCTGAGGCAGGAGAATTGCCTGAACCCAGGAGGTGGAGGTTGCGGTGAGCCGAGATTGCGCCATTGCACTCCAGCCTGGGTAACAAGAGCAAAACTCGGTCTCAATAAAAAACAAACAAACAAACAAACAAACAACAACAATATCTCAGGGATGGGGCGGACTGCAGGCCAGGCTGCTTTACAAAGGTCTGGAGAGGACCTCTGAGCTGAGACTCAAAAGGGGTCCTGAGGAGCGGAGCTGCAGCTCGAGGTGGGACGGGAGAGCACTCTAGGCTGCAGGAACTGCAAAGGCAAAGGCTCTGAGGTGGGAGCCAAGTTCATGGGCAGATGTTTGAGCACACCTCTGGCTTCCAGGGCCTTCCAGAAGCTCCAGTCCCTTGGGTTTGGTTGTGTATTCCTGTGACCTTCACCACAGGCCTCCTCCTGGACCCACTAGGGCAGAGCCTGGGGGCTGCCGGTGGGTTTCAGGCTAAGGAAGTAGAAATGGGTAATTCCCAGAGGCAGAAATCAGCAGACCCAGTGGCCCGGTGGGTGGTCAGGAAAGCTTGTCCGCGCCTCAAGGGCTGTGTAGTAGCCCGCCCTTAGGACGTGCCCAGAGCGAGACCATCCCAGTTTGGATCTGCCGGGGAAGTGGGCCGGCCAGGGAGAGGGGTAGAGGGGGACCAGAGGGGAAGACTGAGTTTTCCGGACGGTGGGCTGGGTCGGAGGCCGGCGGACCGTCTGAGGGGGTCCTCCGGGTTCGAGGCCGCTGGCACCAACCAGTTCTGTGACCCTCTCGGGCCTCAGTTTCCCGCCCTCGCGGATTCCTAGGCGACCTCGCAGATCCTGGGCCTGGTGATTACTGGGCGGGGAAGGGCGGGAACTCGAGCCTCCCGGGCGGGGTCTCCCAGATTCCGCGGCCACGTTTGCGACCCAGGCGGAGGCGCGGGGTCTGAAGCCAGAATCGCTCTCCTGGGCTTCGGTGCGATCGGCAGTGGGAGGTGAGAGTGGGCCCGGCGGGCTCCGGGAGGAGGTGGTCCCGGGGACGTGGCGGGAACGGCCCCGACGCAAGGACACGGAAACCGAGGCGGCAGCCGGGGAGATCCTGACTGAGGTGACCCCTGTTTCAGGGTGACAGCCGGTCGGGGCTCCCCGCAGTGGCCACTGGCCCGGCGGTCCCGCGTCCCCATCCCGCCTCTCCTGCAACAAAAGAATCCAGGAAGACGCAGAGGCGGGCGGGAGGCGGGGTGTGCGGGCGGGTCTGGCCCCCCTGCTGGTGGAGAGGAGGGAGCGCCCTTACCTAGGCGCGGGGGAGTGGAGGGGCACGGCCCACGGGCTGCCCACCCGCTCCATGTGCCCCAGTGCTGGGCCCAGGACCACCAGTGAGGCCACTCCTCTGGCAAACATCTGTGACCTCCTCCTCCCACTTCCTGGGCCACCCCTACTGGAGTGGCCTCTTTCCCTATCCCGGAGCCTGGCTGGTTTTCCTCCATAACCCTTAGCATTACCGGTCCTTATGTTATCTCTTATTTCACTGATTATTATTTCATTAATTTTTTTCTTTTTGAGATAGAGTCTTGCTCTGTCCTCCGGGCTGGAGTGCAGTAGCGCAATCTCGGCTCACTGCAACCTCCGCCTCTCCGGTTCAAGCGATTGTCCTGCGTCAGCCTCCAGGCACGCACCACCACGACCGGCTAATTTTTTGTATTTTTAGTAAAGACGGGGTTTTTATCGTCTTAGCCAGGATGGTCTCGATCTCCTGACCTCGTGATCCACCTGCCTTGGCCTCCCAAAGTACCGGGATTACAGGTGTGAACCACCATGCCCGGCCATTTTCTCGTTACTTTATTAGTATTTATTTTGTGTGCCTACATTGTTTCCTCCATGGGAATGTAGGCTTCAGGAGGGCAGGAGACTTTGTTTTGTCTGCTGATATCTTCCCATTACTTCAACAGATCCCTCCCGAGGGCCTCTCTGAGCCCTGCACAGTGCTGGATATTGGGGTTCTCCTGGGAACCTAGCTGAGTCCCACCCTACGAATTTTGCAGCTGGGAGCAGTGCTTTAACACAAATGACATAATTGTGGGATGAAGGAAACAAACCAGAAATGGCGGGGCGGGGTGGGTCTACTGGTCAGGTGACCTTAGGTCAAGACACCTTGGTGGTCGGGGCCACCTTGGATATGGTGATCATGGAAGGCCTCCCAGATGAGGTGACTTCAGTTAAAGCCACAAAGAAACTGAGTGGCAAGTACTAGAAGGGAAAAGCTAGGAACCATGAGGGCACATAGAGCTTTGACCTGGACTCAGGCAAGGAGCTGAGGTCTGAAGAGTAAAGGACAAGACAAAGGGGACCCGGCCCTTTAAGTTGCTCAGGGGTTCCTGGCTGGGTGGATGGGTAGGGGATTCTCAGGGGTCAGGGAAGGCTTCCTGGTGGAGGCCTTGGTTTCATTAGGCCTTGAAGGCGGAGTAGGAGTTCTCATTCTTTGGGATGAGCTGACTGGGCTTGAGAATTGTTTTGCAGGATCCCTGGGAACCAGGTGGTCCAAGGGCTAAGCTGTGTGGCCAGACAAGAGGTCTCTGCCCTCCCCCAGGGAGCCGGTAAGTGAGTACAGTGTGAGGGATTTGGGAGACCAAGCTCTGTGTCTCATTGGCCATGTAATCTTGGGCAGGATCCGCTCACTGCTGGACTTTGGTTTTCCATGAGTAGGGACAGTTGGACTACATGCCATTCATTGATCCTGGAGGCACTCACACTCAGTGGTTGTGGCTAGCTTTTCTCAGCTATACCTTGGGTTTGTGCCACACTCTTGTTTACAGAGTAGGTTCCGTCTGTCCCTGAAGACTGCAGATTGAGAGAGAAAAATAATGTTTTATTTGTGGAATTAGAGCCCCTTTAAATAATCGGGCCCAGACATATTGAAATGAAACGTCTGTCAAGTCTTAGTCCTCCCTAGAGCTAAAGAATCATCTCTTTTCCTTTTTTCTTTTCTTTTCTTTTTTTTTTTAATGTCAGACCGGTAGTGTGCCCACATGGTAACACAGATCAAAGGCAGCACATCTCACACATGCACATGAACACCCAATCATCACTCATGAACTATAAAAGGTCAAGAATTACCTCTTGAAGCCACTTGCCATGTGGCTCTAGAGTGATAACAAGTAGCCATAAAATGCCGTGCACTGGACACCCTATGGTTCAACAACATATAGCCAGTCACTGATCAATGTTCTTTCTTTTCTTTTTTTTTTTTTTTTTTTTTTGAGCAGGAGTTTCGCTCTTGTCAAGCAGGCTGGAGTGCAATGGCACAATCTTGGCTCACTGCAAACTCCACCTCCTGGGAGCAAGCGATTCTCCTGCCTCAGCCTCCCGAGTAGCTAGGTGTCCACCACCAAGCCCAGCTAGTTTTTGTATTTTTAGTAGAGATGGGGTTTCATCATGTTGGCCAGGCTGGTCTCGAACCCCTGAGCTCAGGTGATCCACCTGCCTCAGCCACTCAAAGTACTGGGATTACAGGTGTGAGCCACCACAGCCGGCCAATCAATGTTATTTCTGTAAACAAAGGAGAATTCCTGCCAAATAACTCTGTCATCCTTGCCTCCTCCTGCCTATAAGAAGCTGCTTGTAAGAAAGGCCCACGGCACACCCCACGGCAACTTATGTTTGTTCTGGGCAGTTGTCCTCACTTTGGCTCAAGTAAACTTTTGAAAGTTATATTTTGTGCCTCAGCTTCTGCCTTTAGGTCAATAAGATTCAACTGCTATATGCAAATAAGAGGCCAGTGCAAGCCCAGGAGGGTCATGGAAACCCTGGAGGTTTGGCCTCAGAGTTGGAGTTGAGAGGACCCCAGATTAGGGAATAGTTTAAGCACAATGGTTTCCATGGGTCTGTGATCCCTTTCGCCTCAGCTGGGGCCTGTTACTTTGGATTTTAGAAAGCTTTGCCCAGGTCCTGCCATGACTCCTGTCTGATCCAATCTTGTTATTACCTCCGAGTCTGCTATTGAGATTTTTTTTTGCATGATCCTTACAACAACCCTTGGAGGGAAAAGGAAGGAAAGATGAGTCTACTTCTCAGGAGACATTAGGGGTCTTAGGGACACAGCAAGTGAGTAGGAGCCCCAGGGCTGGGGCTCAGGTCACCTCCAGAGCCAGTGCTTTTCCCCAGGGTGGCATGGAGCTACCTTCCTCTCTGATCAGCTGCCGCTTCTCTCGCCCTACAGTTCTCGTGGAGCCATGAAGCTGAACGAGAGGAGTGTGGCTCACTATGCACTCAGCGACTCCCCAGCAGACCATGTGGGCTTCCTGCGTACCTGGGGGAGCCCAGGGACCCCAGCAACCCCCAGTGGCACTGGCCGAAGATGCTGGTTTGTCCTCAAGGGCAACCTGCTGTTTTCCTTTGAGAGTCGCAAGGGCCGGGCCCCGCTGAGCCTGGTGGTGTTGGAAGGCTGCACAGTGGAACTGGCCGAGGCTCCCGTGCCCGAGGAGTTTGCCTTTGCCATCTGCTTTGATGCCCCCGGAGTGCACCCTCACCTGCTTGCTGCAGAAGGGCCGGCAGCCCAGGAGGCCTGGGTGAAGGCGCTGTCCCGCGCAAGCTTTGGCTATATGCGCCTGGTGGTACGAGAGTTGGAGAGCCAGTTGCAGGACGCACGCCAGAGCCTGGCTTTGCAACGTCACTCATCCTGGAAGCCCGCTGCCAGCCGCTGTAAGCTCCAGGCTCGTAACAACCGGTCTGTGGTCCTGGAGAATGGCCACTCCTTCTCCAATGACTGCAGCCCTGTGGGCTTGGTTGAAGAAGCGGGTAGCAGGTCTGCAGGACTGGGGTTGGCTGAGCGGGAGCTACAGGGCCCTGCCAGCCTCCTCCTAGGCAGGGGGCAGAGTCCTGTGTCCCCTGAGACCTCCAATTTCTCTACCCTGCATGACTGGTATGGCCAGGAGATCATGAAGCTGCAGCAGCATTGGCGGCAGAGGGCCCAGGGGAGCCAGCCAGAATGTGAGGAACAGGAAAAGCCCTAAGGCTGGGCACTGTGATTCAGGAAACCAGGGCCAGTTCTTTTTCAGGAGTTAAATGTTTACCCATTTCCAAGGCTGCATTTTGGGAGGTGACGTGGGTTCTCTCCTTCCTGCTATTTAGGCATTCTCCAGGTTCCAGATCCACCTGTGTGTCTGGAAGGGACTGAGGGACCATTCCTGCCATCCTTTTTTATTTCCTGAGGCCCGGAGAGGAAAGGGGCTTGATCAGCTGCCACTGCACCCGGTCCAAACTCCTGACTGCACTGGCCTGACTGCCCCCTCCCAGGGGATATTAATGAAATGCAGGAAGTGGGCAATGTCACCTGAGAGTGTCACAGGCTTGCCCTACCTTTGACCTACACGCCGGACTCTAGAGCTGTAAACTCCAACCTGGGGAGTCTCGTGTGCATTTAAAGCCAAGGTTGGCTGCAGTATTGGCTTGAGACTCTTGACCTTGTCAGAGAAAGTGGATTTACCATGTCATAGGAGTTTCTGGGACTCAGCTCTTCCCAAGAAGGCTGGGAAGATTGGGGATGGCATCCTCACTCAGCAATTCGGGTAGGGCCCTTTGAGGCAGCAAGTCTTTGGCCAGTGAAGAGAGATTTATTCTGCTAAGAATTTGGGGCCCCATCCTTTCTCTCTGGCTGCCCTGTTAACAGATGGTGCTGGACCTTGCCCCAGGAAGGGCTATTAGCTTTTGATGTCAGCAAAATGCCCTCCTGTACTCTGTCCTCAGCAGCCAACTCCTGGAGCTGCCAAGTGAGGGGTTAAAGAAGAGGTGGGGAGACAGTGTGGTTCTCGGGGAAAGTTGGTTGCTCTGGCTCTCAGTCCTGGGCATTCTGGAGCTTGGACACGGGATTCCCAGTTTCCTGTGCTAAAATCTCTCTCCTGGCTGGGCTCGGGTAAAAGTGTTCTTGCAAGTGAAGCTGCTCAAGAAACCACCTGGGAACTCTCATAGCCCTGTTTGTCACCTAGCGTGTACTTGCCAGGACCCCTCCTTGCTACTATTCCCAGCATCCAGCCTGTTTTTTCTTTTTCTGTTTATTTTTTGGAGACAGTTTCTTTTCTGCCGCCCAGGTTGGAGCGCAGTGATGCAATCTCGGTTCACCGCAACCTCCGCCTCCCAGGTTCAAGTGATTCTCCTGTCTCAGCCTCCCGAGTAGCAGGGATTACAGGCGCCCAACACCACGCCTGGCTAATTTTTGTATTTTTAGTAGAGACGGGGGTTTCGCCTTGTTGGCTAGGCTTGTCTCGAACTCCTGACCTCAGGTGATCCACCCATCTCGGCTTTCCAAAGCGCTAGGATTATAGGCATGAGCCACCGCACCGGCCCAAACGTGTTTTTTTCTATTGTTCTGGGAAGCAAAGTGGTGCTGGGTCACCAGAGCCTGACCAGACTGACGCCTTAGAGGTGCGAGGGCAGAGGCTGGGCGGAAGACGCAGAACCCCAGAGGAGACACCCCCTCCCCAGCCTCCGCTACCCTCACTGGGGCCTTGGGCAGGACCGACAGGCACCCAACCAGGACTTAGGCGGAGGTTCACAGCCTCCTACCCCCAGGAGCCTGAGATGCACCCAGGGTGGGCGCCGGGCCAGTTCCCCAGCCCTGCCGGGAGCCCCGCCCCCACTGCACTTTGCTTTATACACAGATCGCACGGGCCTTTCTTTTTTATTGTTACAGTGCTTGGCACGCGGTTAAAACAGTAGTAAAGCTTTTTCATTATTACTCATTCGGCTCCCTAGGTTTTTTTCCGCAGCCGCTGAGGCCTGCTCTGGCGGTCGGGTGGTCCCAGGCGCGAGAACCCGGACTGCGGCCCTGCCCAGCAGGACGCGAACAGACGCAGCTGGGGCGGCGCGCCGCTCTCGTAACGTCACCACGTAGGCCGGTGACAAACACCTCCCTCTGGCCGCCCCAGGAGGCGCCGACACTAAGCGAGTTGAATGGGCTTCTCGTGTGCTCCTCGAAGTCTCGCGAGGCTTCGAGCGGCGTTCTTCCCGAGGGCGGCACCGGGGCCGGGCGGTGGGGTCCGGGTGCCCGGGCGAGGGGCGGAGCTGCGGGATGGCGTCCGGAGCGGCTCGCTGGCTAGCGTTGGCAGCCGTCAGGTCCGGGGTTCCCCGGAGCGGGCCTAGCTTGAGGAAAGGTGGTGATGTTGCCGCGGCACGGAGCGACCCAGGCCGGAGCCTGGTACCGTCGAGGTCAGTCATCGTTACCCGCAGCGGCGCCATTTTGCCCAAACCAGTCAAAGTGAGTGTCTTCCTGGAGACGGGGCGAAGGGGCTGAGGCCAATCATTGTGGGGAATGCAGGCGGGCGGCGCTGATTGACTGGAGCCAAGGCCAATCATAACGATTACCCTAGAGTGGAAGGCGGGCCAAAAATAAATGCGCTAATAAGTTGCTAATTTTGACAGGTAGGTAGAAAATGGTAGGTAGACAGAAGATGGGGACAAAGGCTGAGGAAGATGACGTTTTACATTAGCTTATTCTGAGAGGTACGGTGCGGTGCTCCTCTGGAGTCAGAAAACTCGGCCCTGTGCATCTAGCTTAGACTGTAATCTAAATCCTGTAATGTCTGCCCTGCCTGTCTCCTAGTTTATGGGATGAAATATGAATTGTGAAAGGACTCTGTAAACAAGGGGTACGTGGGACGCCCCTTATCTTTTTATGAGTCTCCACCTAGTATTTAATTCATAGATTTACAGCCCTGATAGATGTGCAGGGAATTATTACAATCACGGTTTTTCCAAATGAAGAATCAGGCTAGAGCTGTGAAGCCAATATCCAAGGCTTGCGCTGAGGCCGCAGCCTCCCGGTTTCTTGCTGTTACTGTCCCGGCCAGGTCCTATTTTTTTCCACCACTGAACGCTATCACATGCCCTTGAGTTTTTCTAGGGAAAACGGAAACAGTCCCTTATAGCAAACAAAAGTTTGCTTTATGACTGCAGGGCTGTGTGGTATGGGAGTTAAAAAACAAATTCTCGGCCGGGCGCGGTGGCTCAAGCCTGTAATCCCAGCACTTTGGGAGGCCGAGGCGGGTGGATCACGAGGTCAAGAGATCGAGACCATCCTGGTCAACATGGTGAAACCCCGTCTCTACTAAAAATACAAAAATTAGCTGGGCATGGTGGCGTGTGCCTGTAATCCCAGCTACTCAGGAGGCTGAGGCAGGAGAATTGCCTGAACCCAGGAGGCGGAGGTTGCGGTGAGCCGAGATCGCACCATTGCACTCCAGCCTGGGCAACAAGAGCGAAACTCCGTCTCAAAAAAAAAAAAACAAAAAAACAAACAAAAAAACAACAACAACAAAAAAACACAAATTCTCTTAAAGCTAGTCTAGCCTATGCTAACTCACCCAATTGACTGCAAGGTCCACGTTGGGAAAGAGCTACCTTATCAGAAGGCACAGTGACTTTTTTTAAACTCCGGGAATACAAGAGGAAATGTTGCTCAGATTTTACTGACACTTTCCCAATCTATCTAAATAGTCTTTTAGTGTAAATACATGCCCCCTTTCACACACATTAGTTTCTAAAATTTAATGTGCTTAAATCAAATTTCTCAGGCATCAGGGAACCTGTTACTTAATGAATTGTATAGAATATCCCTTCAGTGTACATCTTTTTCTTCCTTTCTTTTTTTTTTTTTTGAGACGGAGTTTCGCTGTTGTTACCCAGGCTGGAGTGCAATGGCACGATCTCGGCTCACCGCAACCTCCGCCTCCTGGGTTCAGGCAATTCTCCTGCCTCAGCCTCCTGAGTAGCTGGGATTATAGGCACGCGCCACCATGCCCAGCTAATTTTTTGTGTTTTTAGTAGAGACAGGGTTTCACCATGTTGACCAGGATGGTCTCGATCTCTTGACCTCGTGATCCACCCGCCTCGGCCTCCCAAAGTGCTGGGATTACAGGCTTGAGCCACCGCGCCCGGCTTTTTTTTTTTTTTTTTTTTAACAGAGTTTCACTCTGGTTACGCAGACTGTAGTGTAATGGTGCGATCTTGGCTAACCGCAACCTCTGCCTCCCAGGTGCAAGCAATTCTCCTGCCTCAGCCTCCCGAGTAGCTGGGTTTACAGGCAGGCGCCACCAGGCCCAGCTAATTTTGTATTTGGGGTTTCTTCATGTCAGGCTGCTCTCGAACTCCTGACCTCAGATGATCCGCCCCTGCTTGGCCTCCCAAAGTGCTGGGATTACAGGTGTGAGGCCCCGTGCCCAGCCTTCCTTCACTGTACAACTTTCTGCCATAGGTTTTTGTGTATTTCATGTCTTCAAGTAGAGCTCACTATAGTCCAGCCCGCCTAGTACTGGCGCACCTGTCTGCCTGTAGAGATTTAAAGTAATTAGCAGGCTGTGTCCTAACTTAGCAGGCTGTGTCCTAACTTTAGATGTCTAGGGTGCCGTAGACTTTTCTACTTTTCATCCACTTTGATGGCCATGACAGTCACCTATCTCCTTTTGTTTTTTCTTTTTCTTTTTTATTTTTTTTGAGACGGAGTTTCACTCTTGTTACCCAGGCTGGAGTGCAATGGCGCGATCTGGGCTCACCGCAACCTCCACCTCCTGGGTTCAGGCAATTCTCCTGCCTCAGCCTCCTGAGTAGCTGGGATTACAGGCACCCACCACCATGCCCAGCTAATTTTTTGTATTTTTAGTAGAGACGGGGTTTCACCATGTTGACCAGGATGGTCTCGATCTCTTGACCTCGTGATCCACCCGCCTCGGCCTCCCAAAGTGCTGGGATTACAGGCGTGAGCCACCGTGCCCAGCCCTGTTTTTTCTTTTTCTTTAATCTTGCCTCATTGCAACCTCTGCCTCCCAGGTTCAAGCAATTCTCCTGCCTCAGCCTCCTAAGTAGCTGGGATTACAGGCATGCACCACCACGCCGAGCTAATTTTTTGTATTTTTAGTAGAGACGGGGTTTCACCATGTTGACCAGGATGGTCTCGATCTCTTGACCTCGTGATCCACCCACCTCGGCCTCCCAAAGTGCTGGGATTACAGGCCTGAGACACCACGCCTGGCCCTCTCCTTTTCTAATTCCTTTTCTTGCCCTGAATTCTTCCAAAGATTTTAAAATCAAGTTGCTTATGATGGGTCTGAGTTCCACAGTAGGGAATGTCCATGACAGGGCCAGTTTTTCTTTGGTCTTGCCAGAGGCGGCTCTGGAGCTCACAGCCACCACTCTGACCCTCTGCAGATGTCTTTCGGTCTTCTCCGTGTGTTTTCCATCGTGATCCCCTTTCTCTATGTCGGGACGCTCATTAGCAAGAACTTTGCTGCTCTACTTGAGGAACATGACATTTTTGTTCCAGAGGATGATGATGACGACGACTAACAAGTAAGACTTGCTTTAACTTAGATGGACCAGGAAGCAGGGTGGAGCACGTGTCTGTGATGCAGTGTGGCTTGGTAGCAGCATTTGGACATTGGGGGCAGAAGCTGTAATGAATTGACCCACTTGGTGGCTAATGTTTTTATTTTGCTTTTTCCCTTTATTGGATGAGGGCAACTTACTGACTTATACATTCACTGGGGTCTCTTCCAACTAGGTTGGGATCCTAGCCAGCCTTTTCAGTTGCCCTTGATGTATCCCCAATCAACCTACCCATTTTCTTGACAATTTAATATGCCTTACACACATACCACCAGCAGCATCATTTCAGCAGCTATGTGTGGAAATGAAGAAACTGCAAGTGCTTCCCTGTCAGCTCTCGTTACCAAGCTCTCACCACTACATCCTGTCTGTGGGCACCACAGCCTGGTTCATGCATTGCTCACAGACTGCTCCCCTAGCAGTACCAGTCCTTCCCATTCAGCTTCCTGTGTTGACTTCCTGTGCTCTAATACGTACTGCATGGCACCACTGTCAGAGATGAGGACACTCCTGACTCCTTACCTGGCATTCAAGGCTTGCCATGATTTGGTCACGGCTCTTATTCCAGTCTCATCTTCCGTATTTCCAGCCACCCACCGATTCCCAGTATTCACCATTTCTTTTTTTTTTTTTTGAGACGGAGTTTCGCTCTTGTTACCCAGGCTGGAGTGCAATGGCACGATCTCGGCTCACCGCAACCT